AGGAGACAGAGGACAGATACCCATCAGAGACAGAGGACAGAGACAGAGGGCAGAGACAGAGACAAAGGACAGAGGACAGGAGACAGAGGACAGATACCCGTCAGAGACAGAGGAGAGAGGACAGAGGACAGAGACGGAGGAAAGAGGACAGAGACAGAGGACAGAGGACAGAGGACAGAGACAGAGGACAGAGACAGAGGACAGAGGCAGAGGACAGAGGACAGAGGACAGAGACAGAGGACAGAGGCAGAGGACAGAGGCAGAGGACAGAGGACAGAGGACAGAGGACAGAGGACAGAAGACAGAGGACAGAGACAGAAGACAGAGACAGAGGACAGAGACAGAGGACAGAGACAGAGGACAGAGACAGAGGACAGAGACGGAGGAAAGAGGACAGAGGACAGAGACAGAGGACAGAGGACAGAGGACAGAGACGGAGGAAAGAGGACAGAGGACAGAGGACAGAGGACAGAGGACAGAGGACAGAGACAGAAGACAGAGGACAGGAGACAGAGGACAGATACCCGTCAGAGACAGAGGAGAGAGGACAGAGACAGAGACAGAGGACAGAGACAGAGGAGAGAGGACAGAGACAGAAGAAAGAGGACAGAGGAGAGAGGACAGAGGAGAGAGGAAAGATACCCGTCAGAGACAGAGGACAGAGGACAGAGGACAGAGACAGAGGACAGGAGACAGAGGACAGATACCCGTCAAAGACAGAGGACAGATACCCGTCAGAGACAGAGGAGAGAGGACAGAGACAGAGGACAGAGATGGAGGAGAGAGGACAGAGGAGAGAGGAAAGATACCCGTCAGAGACAGAGACAGAGGACAGAGACAGAGGACAGAGACAAAGGACAGAGGACAGGAGACAGAGGACAGATACCCGTCAAAGACAGAGGACAGATACCCGTCAGAGACAGAGGAGAGAGGACAGAGACAGAGGACAGAGACGGAGGAGAGAGGACAGAGGAGAGAGGAAAGATACCCGTCAGAGACAGAGACAGAGACAAAGGACAGAGGACAGGAGACAGAGGACAGATACCCGTCAGAGACAGAGGACAGATACCCGTCAGAGACAGAGGAGAGAGGACAGAGGACAGAGACGGAGGAAAGAGGACAGAGACAGAAGACAGAGGACAGAGGACAGAGGACAGAGACAGAGGACAGAGACAGAGGACAGAGACAGAGGACAGAGGACAGAGACAGAGGACAGAGACAGAGGACAGATACAGAGGACAGAGGACAGAGGACAGAGGACAGAGGACAGAGACAGAAGACAGAGGACAGGAGACAGAGGACAGATACCCGTCAGAGACAGAGACAGAGGACAGAGACAGAGACAAAGGACAGAGGACAGGAGACAGAGGACAGATACCCGTCAGAGACAGAGGACAGATACCCGTCAGAGACAGAGGAGAGAGGACAGAGACAGAGGACAGAGACAGAGGACAGAGGACAGAGGAAAGAGGACAGAGACAGAAGACAGAGGACAGAGGACAGAGACAGAGGACAGAGACAGAGGACAGAGACAGAGGACAGAGGACAGAGACAGAGGACAGAGACAGAGGACAGAGACAGAAGACAGAGGACATAGGACAGAGGACAGAGACAGAGGACAGAGGACAGAGACAGAGGACAGAGGACAGAGGAAAGATACCCGTCAGAGATAGTTTGTCCTCACAGTGTGATGTTATTGATAGAAATACCTGATGATCCAGCGACAGAATCTGCTGCTTTTGTCTGAACTGAACGAGCCACTCGGACCAATCAGGATGAACTGTCCGTCACACGCCGTCGCTACGGAGACAAGGACATGCCGTCTCAGTGATGAAGCTAACAGTGAGGCTTACCTGTTGTCATGTGACTCCTCTCAGGTGTCACGTGACTCTGACAGGTGTCATGTGACTCCTCACCACAGCGGGCAGCGTCTTCGTCCGAGCCGTCGGGACAGTCCCGGTGTCCGTCACAGAGCCGACCAATCAGGATGCAGAGAGACGGATCAGCACAGGACGTCTGCTGGGGAGGACACGCCTCTGAGGACAGACAGGAAGTTACTATCAGACAGAAAGTTACTATCAGACCCCCCACTCACCTGACCCCCTCACATGACCCCCCCTCACCTGACCCCACTCACATGACCCCCCATCACATGACCCCCTATCACCTGATCCCCCCTCACCTGCTGTAGGTGAGACACCTGTCGGAGCAGCCGTTGTTACTTCCTGTTTCCCTGCAGGAACAAATCAGAGTTTAAATGACCCTTAAAGAGCCTGTGACAGCCTCCTGTTGTGCAATGAAATATTGGGCTACTAGTCATCTCGAACCGTCAGTTTAAAAAAGAAGGTGCGATACCGTTCCGATAAATATCAATAATTTCGAACATCGCAGGGAAATTCCTTCGACTCATTTTGAAGTTTTGGGGGAAGCCGGAAGTGACGTCAATGCGGGAACGCTTCACTGTGCGGCGAGAGAGCCAAACACGGACAAAGTGTGTTGTCATGCGTAGAAATGGTGAATTACTGAGTTTAGGCACGTTAATAACGTTGTAATGAAGTTGACTACAGTATATTCATATTTGTCAGTGCTTTCATGTCAATTGGGCGAACATAAACAATGATCGTGGTGAAGATGAGGATTACATTAGGATTAAAAATCGGTAGTGAGAGCTGCTGAATTTCCTCCCGTCGGATGTGATATAAAAACAAATCGATTATTTTTGTAGTTGTAAACTCAAGTGGATGAAACTACATTTATTCGTGCTTTCATGTCAATTCGGCGAACATATGATACATTAAATGATCGTGAGGATCAGTGGCGGCCGGCCCATAGGGGCGCTAGGGGCGCCGCCCCACCTCTTCCCACATACAATTTTTTTTTTTTTAAATTTAATTAAAAAAAAATATATATATATATATATATATATTTTATATTTTAATTTTTAATGAACAAGGTAAATATCATACAATTGGTATCAGTAAAATGTATAATCTACAATAAAATCTCGTTTAAAATGGTGTTACGATGTCTAAAGTTACTGATCAGTCACATGTTTCCTGCCTGGCCTTGCCCGTTAGTTTATCATTACCGGGCGGAGCCCCCGAGACAAACAGCAGCAACCAGCACGTTGCAAAAGTCTCAATAGTAAACTGTGCCGCCGAAACATAATTTCAGCCAATCAGCGCCGTCAAATATTTTGGTCACGAGGGCGCCCACGTTGGCGCCCACGTTGCTTACGTGCGTTGACGTGAGTTGATTTTTAGACTCGTGAGTGACCAAGGTGACGCAGTAGTTGGATGAGAATGGCTTCGTGTGTAGGTGGAGTCGCCGGACCTCGGTCCGCACCCAATTCCGTTTAAGAGCTACTCTCCAATCCTTTCCAAAGGAGAAGTTTGGGAGATAAATTGATATTTAAAGACCTTGGACCGGACCAACCCGATTTGTATATATCACAGCAAGCTCGTGAAAAAGACAAAACGTATCAACGAGGCTAGCTGGATGCAAATGATGCAAACAGGTAAATGCTATCTTTTGTTTCCCATGCTTGCTCTTCAAACAGCCGGGGACAGATACGATCTGTTCAGAAACTAGACAAAAGTTAAACCAGTACAAACCACAGACTGTCTGTGTCATGGAGAATACAGTCGCTGCTTTATTTATGTCTGTAGGCCGTTGTTGTGAGTGTGGAAGGTCGGAACATATATAACGTTAGCTTAGCCAAGCTCCATTCAGAAAACACGCATTCTAAAAGGTGTTTCTCTGCCGTCTGTCTGCAGACTCAAAGCATTAATTCATGGTTTTTACTAACCGGTATCAGTGTGTTGTTACTTCGGCATCATTTAGAAACGTGTATTACAATTTAATCACGGTAAAATATGTTCATTTTGTTGTAGTTGTAGTTCCCGAGCCAGCGCGTCTTGTTTGAATGATGCGAGTAGGCAGGCTGGCAGCCGCGGTGAAACTCGAGCGACTAGAGCGATGCGATAGGAGCGTTTAGAGCGAAGGGAATATTCGCATCGCGTCCGGTCTGAACGCAGCATTAAAGCGAGCTCCGCGCTGCACTGGAAACGCGCCATTACATCACCAGAAGTCCTAATTCAAGGGGTCATTACTCCCAAAAACAAATGTTTTACTCACTATATCAAAAGCCCCACCAAAGATATTTTCCATAAAATGCACGGATTATTATTATTATTATTATTATTCCCACTCCAATCGGGACACTAGGTCCACCGTTTCCCCGCAGCGAGGCTCCCCCCGTTGACAGTTTACGTGGGCTGGGCTGGGTGCAGTGGCGGACTGGCCATCGGGACGAAGTGGGCCGGTCGAGAGTCCCGGGATGATTTTTAGTCCCATTCCACCACTGGCTACATGACCGTATGATCGCCCATATTGACGCACCTAATTCCTAAACTTCTAACAGATACAACATAAAGCGATCCTTCAGCCTCATATGAGCTCTCAGACACGTTCAACATTAAACTGTCATCGCTGTCTGAGCTTGCTGCTGTGTGCGCCATCGTGCGTTTACATGCAGATGCTGGGATCCGGAACGGTGCAGCTGGAGCGCTGTGCCCGCAATGACGTTACACATCATTTGGCGGGACTTGAAGAATCCCCGAGAAGATTCAGGAAATGGTCAACATTGAGATTAATGGTTATCAAAGTACAAATATCCAAAATCAGTTCAGTAACGGTTTTCAAGGGGACAATATTTACTCAAATTGATGGGTTTGGATGATGGGGGAAACTCGTGTCACAGGCTCTTTAACTTAGAGTTTCAATCAATCAATCAATCAATCAATGTTTATTTATAGCCCAATATCACAAATGTTACATTTGTCTCAGTGGTCTTCACAGTTTGTACAGAATATCAGTATGACAATACGACACCCTCTGTCCTTAGACCCTCTGTCCTCAGACCCTCTGTCCTTAGACCCTCTGTCCTCAGACCCTCTGTCCTCAGGCCCTCTGTCCTTAGACCCTCACATCGTACAAGGAAAAACTTCAGTTTAAATCAGAGTTTAAATTAGATTTAAATCAAAGTTTAAATCAGAGTTTAAATAAGAGTTTAAATCAGAGTTTAAATTAGAGTTTAAATTAGATTTAAATTAGTGTTTGAATCAGAGTTTAAATTAGATTTAAATCAAAGTTTAAATCAGAGTTTAAATAAGATTTAAATCAAAGTTTAAATCAGAGTTTAAATAAGAGTTTAAATCAGAGTTTAAATTAGAGTTTAAATTAGAGTTTAAATTAGTGTTTGAATCAGAGTTTAAATTACATTTAAATCAGAGTCTAAATCAGAGTTTAAATAAGAGTTTAAAATAGATTTAAATAAGAGTTTAAATCAGAGTTTAAATTAGAGTTTAAATTAGATTTAAATTAGTATTTAAATCAGAGTTTAAATTATATTTAAATCAGAGTCTAAATTAGATCACAGGTAAGGATTCGACCTCTTTCTGACCTCACCTGTGATCTGGATGCTGTTTCGGTCGATGACCCATCCCGTGCCTCCGGCCTCCTGAAGGCCCACCCCCAACTGCTGCTCCGCCTCCTTCAGGTCGACCAGCTGATTGAACCAGAGGTCAAAGGTCACAGCCACGCTGCCCTGACTGAGGACACAGATCAGAGGTCAGCTGATCGACAGGTACCTGAACCTGTCTCCATGGTAACCGTTCACTCACCTGAAAGAGTTCACCTGGCAGGAAAGGAAGTGCTGTTTGAGCTCGCTGTGACCAAACGCCTCCGACACCTGTCGACCAATCAGAGGGCAGACTGTGAGAACATTCTTACCTGACTCTTTCCCTTCTGTCCTTCACAATAAAAGCTCATCATGTGGGAGTGATGATAAAGCTTCCTGTTATTTCACAATAAAAGCCTCTGCTCTCACCAGGTGTTGGACGTTAAAGCTTCCTGTTATTTCACAATAAAAGCCTCTGCTCTCACCAGGTGTTGGACGTTAAAGCTTCCTGTTATTTCACAATAAAAGCCTCTGCTCTCACCAGGTGTTGGACGTTAAAGCTTCCTGTTATTTCACAATAAAAGCCTCTGCTCTCACCAGGTGTTGGACGTTTTAAAGCTTCCTGTTATTTCACAATAAAAAGCCTCTGCTCTCACCAGGTGTTGGACGTTAAAGCTTCCTGTTATTTCACAATAAAAGCCTCTGCTCTCACCAGGTGTTGGACGTTAAAGCTTCCTGTTATTTCACAATAAAAGCCTCTGCTCTCACCAGGTGTTAGACGTTTAAAGCTTCCTGTTATTTCACAATAAAAGCCTCTGCTCTCACCAGGTGTTGGACGTTAAAGCTTCCTGTTATTTCACAATAAAAGCCTCTGCTCTCACCAGGTGTTGGACGTTAAAGCTTCCTGTTATTTCACAATAAAAGCCTCTGCTCTCACCAGGTGTTGGACGTTAAAGCTTCCTGTTATTTCACAATAAAAGCCTCTGCTCTCACCAGGTGTTGGACGTTAAAGCTTCCTGTTATTTCACAATAAAAGCCTCTGCTCTCACCAGGTGTTGGACGTTTAAAGCTTCCTGTTATTTCACAATAAAAGCCTCTGCTCTCACCAGGTGTTGGACGTTAAAGCTTCCTGTTATTTCACAATAAAAGCCTCTGCTCTCACCAGGTGTTGGACGTTAAAGCTTCCTGTTATTTCACAATAAAAGCCTCTGCTCTCACCAGGTGTTGGACGTTAAAGCTTCCTGTTATTTCACAATAAAAGCCTCTGCTCTCACCAGGTGTTGGACGTGAAAGCTTCCTGTTATTTCACAATAAAAGCCTCTGCTCTCACCAGGTGTTGGACGTTAAAGCTTCCTGTTATTTCACAATAAAAGCCTCTGCTCTCACCAGGTGTTGGACGTTAAAGCTTCCTGTTATTTCACAATAAAAGCCTCTGCTCTCACCAGGTGTTGGACGTTAAAGCTTCCTGTTATTTCACAATAAAAGCCTCTGCTCTCACCAGGTGTTGGACGTTAAAGCATCCTGTTATTTCACAATAAAAGCCTCTGCTCTCACCAGGTGTTGGACGTTTAAAGCTTCCTGTTATTTCACAATAAAAGCCTCTGCTCTCACCAGGTGTTGGACGTTAAAGCTTCCTGTTATTTCACAATAAAAGCCTCTGCTCTCACCAGGTGTTGGACGTTAAAGCTTCCTGTTATTTCACAATAAAAGCCTCTGCTCTCACCAGGTGTTGGACGTTAAAGCTTCCTGTTATTTCACAATAAAAGCCTCTGCTCTCACCAGGTGTTGGACGTTTAAAGCTTCCTGTTATTTCACAATAAAAGCCTCTGCTCTCACCAGGTGTTGGACGTTAAAGCTTCCTGTTATTTCACAATAAAAGCCTCTGCTCTCACCAGGTGTTGGACGTTTAAAGCTTCCTGTTATTTCACAATAAAAGCCTCTGCTCTCACCAGGTGTTGGACGTTAAAGCTTCCTGTTATTTCACAATAAAAGCCTCTGCTCTCACCAGGTGTTGGACGTGAAAGCTTCCTGTTATTTCACAATAAAAGCCTCTGCTCTCACCAGGTGTTGGACGTTAAAGCTTCCTGTTATTTCACAATAAAAGCCTCTGCTCTCACCAGGTGTTGGATGTTAAAGCTTCCTGTTATTTCACAATAAAAGCCTCTGCTCTCACCAGGTGTTGGACGTTAAAGCTTCCTGTTATTTCACAATAAAAGCCTCTGCTCTCACCAGGTGTTGGACGTTAAAGCATCCTGTTATTTCACAATAAAAGCCTCTGCTCTCACCAGGTGTTGGACGTTAAAGCTTCCTGTTATTTCACAATAAAAGCCTCTGCTCTCACCAGGTGTTGGACGTTTAAAGCTTCCTGTTATTTCACAATAAAAGCCTCTGCTCTCACCAGGTGTTGGACGTTAAAGCTTCCTGTTATTTCACAATAAAAGCCTCTGCTCTCACCAGGTGTTGGACGTTAAAGCTTCCTGTTATTTCACAATAAAAGCCTCTGCTCTCACCAGGTGTTGGACGTTAAAGCTTCCTGTTATTTCACAATAAAAGCCTCTGCTCTCACCAGGTGTTGGACGTTAAAGCTTCCTGATATTTCACAATAAAAGCCTCTGCTCTCACCAGGTGTTGGACGTTAAAGCTTCCTGTTATTTCACAATAAAAGCATCTGCTCTCACCAGGTGTTGGACGTTTAAAGCTTCCTGTTATTTCACAATAAAAGCCTCTGCTCTCACCAGATGTTGGACGTTAAAGCTTCCTGTTATTTCACAATAAAAGCCTCTGCTCTCACCAGGTGTTGGACGTTAAAGCATCCTGATATTTCACAATAAAAGCCTCTGCTCTCACCAGGTGTTGGACGTTAAAGCTTCTTGTTATTTCACAATAAAAGCCTCTGCTCTCACCAGGTGTTGGATGTTAAAGCTTCCTGTTATTTCACAATAAAAGCCTCTGCTCTCACCAGGTGTTGGACGTTAAAGCTTCCTGATATTTCACAATAAAAGCCTCTGCTCTCACCAGGTGTTGGACGTTAAAGCTTCCTGTTATTTCACAATAAAAGCCTCTGCCTCTCACCAAGGTGTTGGACGTTAAAGCTTCCTGTTATTTCACAATAAAAGCCTCTGCTCTCACCAGGTGTTGGACGTTAAAGCTTCCTGTTAGTTCACAATAAAAGCCTCTGCTCTCACCAGGTGTTGGACGATAAAGCTTCCTGTTAGTTCACAATAAAAGCCTCTGCTCTCACCAGGTGTTGGACGATAAAGCTTCCTGTTATTTCACAATAAAAGCCTCTGCTCTCACCAGGTGTTGGACGTTAAAGCTTCCTGTTATTTCACAATAAAAGCCGCTGCTCTCACCAGGTGTTGGACGTTAAAGCTTCCTGTTATTTCACAATAAAAGCCTCTGCTCTCACCAGGTGTTGGACGTTAAAGCATCCTGTTATTTCACAATAAAAGCCTCTGCTCTCACCAGGTGTTGGACGTTAAAGCTTCCTGTTAGTTCACAATAAAAGCCTCTGCTCTCACCAGGTGTTGGACGTTAAAGCTTCCTGTTAGTTCACAATAAAAGCCTCTGCTCTCACCAGGTGTTGGACGTTTAAAGCTTCCTGTTATTTCACAATAAAAGCCCTCTGCTCTCACCAGGTGTTGGACGTTAAAGCTTCCTGTTATTTCACAATAAAAGCCTCTGCTCTCACCAGGTGTTGGACGTTAAAGCTTCCTGTTATTTCACAATAAAAGCCTCTGCTCTCACCAGGTGTTGGACGTTAAAGCTTCCTGTTATTTCACAATAAAAGCCTCTGCTCTCTCCAGGTGTTGGACGTTAAAGCTTCCTGATATTTCACAATAAAAGCCTCTGCTCTCACCAGGTGTTGGACGTTAAAGCTTCCTGTTATTTCACAATAAAAGCCTCTGCTCTCACCAGGTGTTGGACGTTAAAGCTTCCTGTTATTTCACAATAAAAGCCTCTGCTCTCACCAGGTGTTGGACGTTAAAGCTTCCTGTTATTTCACAATAAAAGCCTCTGCTCTCACCAGGTGTTGGACGTTAAAGCTTCCTGTTATTTCACAATAAAAGCCTCTGCTCTCACCAGGTGTTGGACGTTAAAGCTTCCTGTTATTTCACAATAAAATCCTCTGCTCTCACCAGGTGTTGGACGTTAAAGCTTCCTGTTATTTCACAATAAAAGCCTCTGCTCTCACCAGGTGTTGGACGTTTAAAGCTTCCTGTTATTTCACAATAAAAGCCTCTGCTCTCACCAGGTGTTGGACGTTAAAGCTTCCTGTTATTTCACAATAAAAGCCTCTCACCAGGTGTTGGACATCGTAGGCCAGGGATTTGAACAGCAGACTGCTGGAGTTCTTCAGCTCTTCAGAATAAAAGGCTCCCTCTGTAATCAGCATGCGGCCGCTCAACTCTGTGGACTCAACGGCACCTCGGCACAACCAGCCACACATCACCATGTTAGCATGAGCCAGATGAAATGAGAGCACTTCATTAAACCAGTGTAGACGAAGCAGATTAGATGAAGCAGTACATGAAGCAG